GCATTGGATAGAGACATGGAATGCATGACGCACACCAGGCATTGGAGAGAGAGAGAGAGATGGGATGGGAAGCGTAAACCCGGCATTGAATATACAGATGGAGTGAATGGCGTAAGTCGAGTCAGCAACAGAGAGGTAGAATGCATCGGCGTAGACCTAGTTAGAGAAATAAGCCTGATAACCAAAATTTCAGTCATACGAATAGGCTTCTGATGAAATCAAAAATCTCGAAGTGAATATGTAAACATCCAGAATGTGTTGGGTTTTTTTTGTAGAGATACATGGCCTAAACCGCAGCATTATAGAGGCTTGGAATGCATACAACAAACCCGGCACTGAATAGAGAGATGGGATGCATGGCGTAAACCCGGCATTGGATAGATAGATGGAGTGCATGGCGTAAGCCGAGTCAGAAACAGAGAGGTAGAATGCATGGCGTAGACCTAGTCAGAGAAATGAGCCGGATAACCAATATTCCGGAGTAACTACGCATAAGTCTGATAATAAAAGAATTGCAAGTGATTAAGTAAACACCCAGAATTGCTGGGTTTTTTGTAGAGATACATGGACTAAACCGCAGCATTGGATAGAGACATGGAATGCATATAACAAACCCGGCACCGAACAGATGGGATGCATGGCGTAAACCCGGCATTGGATAGAGAGATGGGATGCATAGCGTAATAGCCAGCTAATCAAGAAGCTCAAATTTCTCCAGTTCATGGCATTCACGAATGCCAGAAATTCCCAGACAGACAGTTAATCGCAAAAAATAGATAGGAGTTTTAGACCAACTCTCGCAGCCACATCTGCTCCAATCGCCTGGAATCACGCATATCACGCAAACCCATATTTACAACATCAAATCTCCCGGGACCTTTTATCATACTGAAGAGCGTACGGGCCGATATCCGATGGGTGTAGTGGAGTTCTACTGTATGCAAATTAACACGTTGACGACAACGCGCGTTTTTACTTTTTGGCCGAGAGGCACGCGCGCTTTTTTGAACGCCAGAAACGCTGGACGCATACAATTCAAGCCGTCCCACAAGGCGCTTTTCTGGAGATTGGATCGAAAAAACCTGGTTTAGAGAGCAATTGTGAGGTAAGTCAATTATTTACTACGGAAAAATCTGGGCTGGCCAACTCTCTTTGCACCAGGGCCAGGAATTTGTCTGTAAGCGAAATTATTCATAAAAAAGTGTGCTTTCTATAGGACCCAGACTTCTCCACCTTGTATTTTTTCATCATTATCAGTGTTGTGATTGTCTGTATATGTTGGCAAAGTGTTAAACAGCAAACTAGTCCAAAGTTGAGGAGCAAACCAATTCAAGCTTATAGTGCTCTTTTCACAGGAAATCTTTGCCAAACTGGTGTGTACAAAATTATTCCATGAACCACGTGTTGTACGAGTATACTAAGGACTGGCCTATATAATGAATAGGAGAAACTAAAAAAAATTATGCACTAGGGAAAGATATGAATTTGTTGATCGTGATTGTTGATGTTGATTCATATACAATTCGCGCGGTCCCACATGGCCCACAATGCGCGCATTAAATGTGTATCACGCTGTCGTCGATGTGTTAAACTGGGTTTTATGACTGTTCATTATACTGCAGATACGATACAAAAAAGGTAATGGGGTGGAGAAGAGGAGGCCGGCATAGCCGGGCACCAGCTTCTAGGCGTGTGTTGGGTGAGCAGATACGGCATTTCCGTTGGCCTGGCGACAGCTGAAATTACAGTCCTCTCATTGGCTACGACGGTGGGGGCGGCTTAGCCGCGGCTGCGTGGGAACGCGACTGTGACGCGACAGCGGCTCAGTGACAGTCGCGTCACACGCAGCGCGGCTGAGCCGGCCACACCGGTCTGCATGATGAGGACAATGCTGTCCGCCGCTCTCTGCGAAACGCTGTCGGCGGCATGCGATGGACGATCGACTGTCTTGTCTTCGCGACGAGGATACGATAATAGCGCAAGGTATGAACACGGTGTAAGACCATGTTCATACCTCGCGACAGTTAAGAATTGACGAAGTGACAAAGAAACTGAAGAAAACGCGAAAAGGAACAAATACGTATCGATCTGAAGAATTAAAGGATCAGTGAAACGAGAAATCGGAAGCATTAGCATTGCGAAAAGGATTGGATACGTATCGATCTGGAGTAGCGGACGAGTCGACGAATGGCGAAATCGATCGATAAGCATGTATTCCTCATCGCGGTTTCCTCAGTCCGTCAGCTTGTCAGCTTTTACTGTCGCGTGGTGTGCTTCTCTGTACGCGTACACTTTTTTTCTTTTTTTTCTGATTTAATCGGCGCACTGATCTCTCTGACGCATGCTGGCATGAGGTATCATACGGATTTAAAGAAAAACAGATAGCCGCCATTTGGGCTAGGTTTGTACATGAGAACGTTTTTAGCTGATTTCCCTAACCTCTTTGACTTTTTATGATAATTCCATCTCGCGCGATTAAATTTTGGTCCATTTTTTTGTGATAATGGTTTTCTTTCTCGCTTCAGTATTCTTTCTCAATCTGCACACAGATCAGTCATGGACACTCCAAGTTCAGGTACTTGAAAAAGGAGAATCACGCGAAATGTTGAAGTGAAGGTATTCCCATTCCATATAAAACTAAAATGGAGAAGCGGAGTTCTTTGTTCACGTCATTAATTTCTGTTTTCTACGCGAGAACCTTGTTTTCCAAGAGGAATCTTTATGATAGGGAGCTATTTCAAAACTTCAGTTCTGTCCTACAGGCAAAGCAACAGAAATACTTTGAGAACCAAGGCTGTATAAAAAAGGGCATGAATCAGCATTGTATAACAGAGGGAGAAATTCTACTTTTCCTAGTGGTAAGTACTCTTTTCTGCAGCAAAAGTTATTGTGTGTTGAAACAAATGAATAACTTTGTATTTCAAATGAATTAATGATTTGTATCTATCTTGTTTAGCACGTCACATTTGCAAGTCCATCTCTCCCCACTGGATCACAGAAGAGGTTGCCAAAGGTGAGTAGTACGTCGTGTGTATCTAGATTGTAGTCTGTTTTGAAATAGGGGTCACTGGCGTTAGAAAATATAATTAAGCGCTAGTGCACGCTTCAACGTGGGGGTGGGGGCGGACGGGACGCTGGATCGATACCTATGCTTTCCTTCTTGCCCTTTCACAAACGCTCATAGCGCCGATTGTCCCAAAAGTTTGACAAATCGACGCTCCCAAAGTGCGCAAAACGCCGACGCGAAGTGTAAACGCAACCTCAAGCCTGGTCAACGTCCTCGTCTCCGCCGCAGGAATTCCAGCTTTGCACGAGAAGTCGAGAAGTCTTTATTTACCCTCTCTCACCTTTCCCCCTCCCCCCCCCCACGTAAACGGACTAGCGCTCAATTATATTTTCTAACGCCAGCGACCCCTATTTCAAAACAGACTACAATCTAGATACACACGACGTACTACTCACCTTTGGCAACCTCTTCTGTGATCCAGTGGGGAGAGATGGACTTGCAAATGTGACGTGCTAAACAAGATAGATACAAAATTATTCATTTAATTATTCATTTGAAGACAAAATTATTCATTTGTTTCAACACACAATAACTTTGCTGAGAAAAAGAGACACTAGCTGAGGAAAAGTAGAATTTCTCCCTCTGTTATACAATGCTGATTCATGCCCTTTTTTTATACAGCCTTGGTTCTCAAAGTATTTCTGTTGCTTTGCCTCAGGACAGAACTGAAGTTTGAAAATAGCTTCATTTTAAAAGATTCTTCTAGAAACACAAGGTTTTCGCGTGAAAACAGAAACTTAATGAGTGAAAAGAACTCCGCTTCATCCATTTCAACGTTTTATATGAATAGAATACCTTCACTTCAATATTTCGTGACTCTCCCTTTTTCAAGACTGAACTTGGAGTGTTCATACTGATTGTTGCAGCTGAAAAGAACCTGAAACGAGAAAGAAAACCATTATCACAAAAAAATGGACGAAAATCTAATCGCGCGAGATAGAATTATCATACAAAAGTCAAAGAGGTTAGGGAAATCAGCTAAAAACGTTCTCATGTGCAAACCTAGCCCAAATGGCTAGGCTATCTGTTTTTCTTTAAATCCGTATGATACCTCATGCCAGCATGCGTCAGAGAGATCAGTGCGCCGATTAAATCAGAAAAAAAAAAAAAGTGTACGCGTACAGAGAAGCACACCACGCGACAGTAAAAGCTGACAAGCTGACGAACTGAGGAAACCGCGATGAGGAATACATGCTTATCGATCGATTTCGCCATTCGTCGACTCGTCCGCTACTCCAGATCGATACGTATCCAATGCTTTACGCAATGCTAATGCTTCCGATTTCTCGTTTCACTGATCCTTTAATTCTTCAGATCGATACGTATTTGTTCCTTTTCGCGTTTTCTTCAGTTTCTTTGTCACTTCGTCAATTCTTAACTGTCGCGAGGTATGAACATGGTCTTACACCGTGTTCATACCTTGCGCTATTATCGTATCCTCGTCGCGAAGACAAGAACAGTCGATCGTCGATCGCATGCCGCCGACAACGTTTCGCAGAGAGCGGCGGACAGCATAGTCCTCATCATTGCAGACCGGTGTGGCCGGCTGAGCCGCGCTGCGTGTGACGCGACTGTCACTGAGCCGCTGTCGCGTCACAGTCGCGTCACACGCAGCGCGGCTAAGCCGCCCCACCGTCTGCAATGATGAGGACTGTATTTCAGCTGCCGCCAGCCGGAGCCAACGGAATGGTATCGTCTCCCAACACACGCTAGGAGCTGGTGCCCGGCTATGCCGGCCTCCTCTTCTCCACCCCATTACCTTTTTTGTATCGTATCTGCAGTATAATGAACAGTCATAAAACCCAGTTTAACACATCGACGACAGCGTGATACACATTTAATGCGCGCATTGTGGGCCATGTGGGACCGCGCGAATTGTATATGAATCAACATCAACAATCACGATCAACAAATTCATATCTTTCCCTAGTGCATAATTTTTTTTAGTTTCTCCTATTCATTATATAGGCCAGTCCTTAGTATACTCGTACAACACGTGGTTCATGGAATAATTTTGTACACACCAGTTTAGCAAAGATTTCCTGTGGAAAGAGCACTATAAGCTTGAATTGGTTTGCTCCTCAACTTTGGACTGGTTTGCTGTTTAACTCTTTGCCAACAAATACAGACAATCACAACACTGATAATGATGAAAAAATACAAGGTGGAAGAAGTTCTGGGTCCTATAGAAAGCACACTTTTTTATGAAAAATTTCGGTTACAGACAAATTCCTGGCCCTGGTGCAAAGAGAGTTGGCCAGCCCAGATTTTTCCATAGTAAATAATTGACTTACTTCACAATTGCTCTCTAAACCAGGTTTTTCGATCCAATCTCCAGAAAAGCGCTTCGTGGGACGGCTTGAATTGTATGCGTACAGCGTTTCTGGCGTTCAAGAAAGCGCGCGTGCCTCTCGGCCAAAAAGTAAAAACGCGCGTTGTCGTCAACGTGTTAATTTGCATACAGTAGAACTCCACTACACCCATCGGATATCGGCCCGTACGCTCTTCAGTATGATAAAAGGTCCCGGGGAGATTTGGTGTTGTAAATATGGGTTTGCGTGGATATGGTGATCCAGGATTTGAGAGATTGTGGTGGAGAGTTGGTCTAAAACTCCATCTATTTTTTGCGATTAACTGTCTGTCTGGGAATTTCTGGCATTCGTGAATGCCATGAACTGGAGAAATTTGAGCTTCTTGATTAGCTGGCTATTACGCTATGCATCACATCTCTCTATCCAATGCCGGGTTTACGCCATGCATCCCATCTGTTCGGTGCCGGGTTTGTTATATGCATTCCATGTCTCTATCCAATGCTGCGGTTTAGGCCATGTATCTCTACAAAAAACCCAGCAATTCTGGGTGTTTACTTAATCACTTTGCAATTTTTATTATCAGACTTATGCGTAGTTACTCCGGAATTTTGGTTATCAGGCTTATTTCTCTGACTAGGTCTACGCCATGCATTCTGCCTCTCTGTTTCTGACTCGACTTACGCCATGCACTCCATCTGTCTATCCAATGCCGGGTTTACGCCATGCATCCCATCTCTCTATTCAGTGCCGGGTTTGTTATATGCATTCCATGTCTCTATCCAATGCTGCGGTTTAGGCCATGTATCTCTACAAAAAAAACCCAACAATTCTGGATGTTTACATATTCACTTCGAGATTTTTGATTATCAGACCTATTCGTATGACTGAAATTTTGGTTATCAGGCTTATTTCTCTAACTAGGTCTACGCCATGCATTCTACCTCTCTGTTGCTGACTCGACTTACGCCATTCACTCCATCTGTATATTCAATGCCGGGTTTACGCTTCCCATCCCATCTCTCTCTCTCCAATGCCTGGTGTGCGTCATGCATTCCATGTCTCTATCCAATGCCGGGTGTGAGTCATGCATTCCATGTCTCTATCCAATGCTGCGGTTTAGGCCATGTATCTCTACAAAAAACCCCAGCAATTCTGGGTGTTTACTTAATCACTTTGAAATTTTTAATGTCATTCCTGGGCAAAATTATTCTGGAGTTTCGCTTATCCCCTGACTTGATTTACGCTATGCATTCCCTCTCTCTGTCGGATGTCTCGGTTTACACCATGACTTCCACTGCTCCATGCAGAAACAATGGCTGTTTGTGCACCAGCGAATCGAAAACTCAACTCTCCTTCCCATTTCGAAGAACTCCTACCATTTATGCTTCGCATACTGTTTTTTTCCTTTCAGGAGTATGCAGAATATTGAAATCCCGCAAAATAGAGGAGGAAGAATGGCGTCACCAAGGGCTGATCGTAGAGCTGAGAGTTCTGCAATGGATCGCGATATAGCTCCAACAGTTACACTCTTTTCCAAAATTACACAGATCTTACGATTCCTTCTGTTTTTTTTCACCTTTTCATAACGTTTGAAATATGTCGTGGTGTCGGTGTGTGCTACATGTGGCTGAAAGTTTTTATGTGAAATTTTTGAAGCACACTACCACTGCTTTTTTCCTTATACGGTTCTTCGTGCTTTGAAGTTTTACTGCCACATCTTTTTTCACCTTTCATAACGTTTGAAATATATCGTGGTGTCGGTGTGTGTTACATGTGGCTGAAAGTTTTTATGTGAAATTTTTGAACTAACTATGCAGTTAGCGTTCCGTTTCAGGATCTGAACGAAGAGCAAAGCGAACGAGGTCGACCGCGGGTTTATTCCGTTTGCAGAGAGCGTCAAAATAGGCGCACTGGCTGAAGCCAGTGCAAAGGGCTGCTCGCTTGGAGGCCGACGCCATGCCTCACAGACAAAGAACATCTGAAAG